GTGCCGTTGGGCACGTCGCGGGCCGGGTTCAGAGTAGCCGTTTCTGACCATTAGGCTCGTGACGTGCCGGGTGGCGTGTGACCGTTAGGTACGTTGCGGGCCTATGCCGGGTCGCGCCGTGCCGGGCCGAGCTTGGGCCTCGCATAGGCCTGGGCCACGGGCTGGAATGGACGTTTGGTTCACGGACTCAGAATCATGATTCAGAACTATTCTTGATTTACGTATATTTTTATGAAAAAAAATACTGTAACGAACCACGAACCATAATTCAAATTATGACACAAATCCACCAACGAAACACACAAGCCCAGCCCTAGCCCATATGATGTATTGGGCTAGCCCGACTCGTAACAATATAGGGCCGTACCAAACCCAGCTCTGTAGTGGGCTGTACCGAACCGTCTATGAATGACCCAACACAATTGACAACTCTAATTAACATCTATTTGTCCAATTGAAAAAAAAAAAAGAGAATAGATTTACATATATAGCCAAAGAGAGGCATTTTCTGGTTTCTAATTCTATTGACAAGTTGTGTCCAATAAGGTCAAACAAGCCGTCTCTCCTCCACGTCCCTCTCTTCCTCCACGTGGCTTACATCCATTGGAACTGACTTCGTGTACCAAGACGTTATTCACACGCGCTCGCACGACCCTATTTTTCCAATTATTTTTAACATTATTAATTTAACACCATCGCCTTCATTTAAGGTCCTTCCCCATTTCTCTGTTTTAAGCTTCTCCCTTCAGATCTGCGATTCTCCCATAAAAAATTCCTCTCTCGGGAGTCAAAAATCGAAGCTAGGGTTTCGTTCTTCTCCATAGATCAAGCTTGTGAGACCATTTTCTTAATTCTTATTATCATTTCTATCTCTTTTCGATCTGTTTTCTGTTGTATTTTCAGATCTGTTCGATTTACTGGTCTTCCGATTATTCTGATCTATATGTTCGTGTAAATCTCTCTTTTGCATGCATTTTTGGATCTGTATTTCGTGAAGATATGTATTTATGCGATCTTTTAGCTGTAATTTTTAATTTTGATGGTTTTTTTAAGGCTAAACTGGTGTAATTTTTTCAAATTATTATAAGTTTGAGCTTCATCCTTGATTATCAGGTGATCAGATTTGACGAAATACGTATTGTTTTCCTTTAATGCATGGTTTATACAGCGATATTTGAGTAAAGATGAATTTTTGAATCGCAGGCTAGGGATTGAATACCTGATTTTGATAGAAACATTATTTTTCCTTTATTTTTGTATCGGGAAAGAAATTTAACATCTTGTAAATTTGGATCTCGCCTCGCTTTGAGAAAGATCAAATTAATGGATAGAAACGGGGGGTTTTTTTTTTTCCTTCTCTATGTTTATATTGTTTTTTTGTCCCCTTTTGGGACATGGGGTCTGCATAAGGATTGATTTTTTTTTTTTTGGGTGAAATGATTGGATGATTCAGGTGGGATTGGCTTAGTCTTGGCAAAGCAAGATGGGAGGTGGGTTTCGAGTGCTTCACTTGGTGAGACCTTTTCTTGCGTTTCTTCCTGAGGTCCAGAGCGCTGACAGAAAGGTCCCATTCAGAGAGAAGGTCATATACACCGTCATCTCCCTCTTCATCTTCTTGGTGTGCAGTCAGCTCCCTCTGTATGGCATTCACTCCACAACGGGGGCGGATCCGTTCTATTGGATGCGTGTCATCCTTGCCTCGAACCGTGGAACTGTTATGGAGCTCGGAATCACACCCATTGTGACATCCGGACTTGTGATGCAGCTTCTTGCTGGTTCAAAGATCATTGAAGTGGACAACAATGTCCGTGAGGATCGCGCCCTCTTGTACGTATCTTTCCGAACTAATGTTAATGCAGTTTCTGGCCTAATTGGGTTGTTTTACATTATATTTGTAGCGTTTTCTTGCTTTAGGTTTGCTTAGTTCGCCGTGATTTAATAAGTTTGACTGTTAATCGATTTCCCAATTTTGAAATGATTCTAGTTCTTTTTCTTCTGTTAGTGCATGCTGATTTCTAGAGCTTGTGTTATCATTAAAATTAAGAATGACGATCTCTATTTTTACTTCCCAGGAATGGTGCACAAAAGTTATTGGGCATCTTGATAGCCATCGGTGAGGCTGTTGCGTATGTTGTCTCTGGGATGTACGGTAGCGTTGACCAACTTGGAGTTGGAAATGCTATTCTTATCATCCTTCAGCTCTTCTTTGCTGGGATCATCGTCATCTGCTTGGACGAACTTCTTCAGAAAGGATATGGTCTCGGCTCTGGAATTTCACTTTTCATAGCAACCAATATCTGGTGAGTTTAATGCTTCTCTTAGTCCCCCCTCTCCCTAACAATATGTTCCTTTCAGCTGGAATTGTTGCGTGAAAATCTTTATACCTATTACTTACGGCCTTAGAGTTTTATCGAATTTTTCTATTTATTTAGATTTGCGTAAAGAGTTCAGTCAATTCTTTTTCAGTGAAAACATTATCTGGAAAGCCTTCAGTCCGACCACCATCAACAGTGGTCGTGGAGCTGAATTTGAGGGTGCTGTCATTGCTCTGTTCCATCTCCTAATTACTCGAACAGACAAGGTTCGTGCTCTTCGTGAGGCCTTTTATCGGCAAAATCTTCCGAATGTAACAAACCTACTCGCTACAGTCCTCATCTTCCTTATAGTAATCTACTTCCAAGGATTCCGTGTCGTCCTCCCTGTGAGATCGAAGAATGCACGTGGACAACAGGGATCTTATCCTATCAAACTGTTCTACACCTCGAACATGCCCATCATTCTCCAATCTGCACTTGTGTCTAATCTTTACTTCATCTCCCAGGTACAGGACTTTGGTGCTTTTCTGACATGTTGGAGACGATCTTTTCTTCTTTAGCATTCTGACTGTTTTATTG